TATTTTTAATTTGAGTAAAAGTTTTAACTTTTACGTCATGGCATCCAATACTTGGTAAAACTGGTTGGTCTCATTTCATTGCTATCTTATGTTAAAATGTGAATACTACTTTAGAAATCAAATTGTTCGTTAATATAAAACAATCTACATTCAGAGTCTATATATCTTCTTTCAGTTATCATCATTATAATTCTATGGGCTTAATTCCTTCGATTCAACCAAGCTCATAAATCATACAAATGAACTGTCCCCTTGATAATTATGCAAATTGGGCTACTGATGCAAGTGTGTGGCTCTCTGAATTGCACGGGTCTTGTGTTCCTGGGTGTGGCAGCTAGCAATGTCCTTGCTTTTACTTGTTGTTCCCAATATGTCTTTTTTCTTCCCTCATATCCTTTACACCCTGCCCCCCATTCCCCCCCAATCATTCATTTTCTATACTGTTCACATCCTCAGGCCAGAATTGATCACAGCTTTTATTAGCAGAGAAGTTGTGTTTCTCTCATCATGCTGAGTCTTAGAACTCTTCGAAGTTTACCTTTAACAGGAATCACCTCCTTGTTAATGTGGATAACTAGGAGCCAGTTTTAAGGAAAGTTGACCAATTACTGTATTTCAATTAATTTATTTTTAAAAGTATTTGACCAATAGAGGAATAAATAGCATTAATAGTTATTCATAAGGGCATATTTGTGTCTGTCTGCTTTTGGCATTGATTATTATATAACCTTGGGGCTGCACCTCAGCTTCACTATCTCCAAAATCAATGAGTTGGACAAGATGACAATCTGACCCCCTCAGGGTTCCCAGGAAGGAATCCACATGTCCACAGATGTTTCCTCTGACATGCAAAAGGTGCCGGTCACCAGCCTTACACATGCAGTTGTCAGAGAGCTGTGACAACTGACTTTGGTCAGTTAATTCTCACGTGTCTCAGTCATGTAAAAACCATGATGAAATAATTCAACATCATTTTGCAAATTGGTAGGCCAAAATCAAAGATATTGGATAATTACTTAATATGACAAATAAGAAAAAAAGAAAGAGAATAATAATTTTGACTCACACTTTTTACTGCACGAGGGATCACTGTGGTGAATATATGGCCTAACTGGTTCAAATCAGCATGTTATTTTGTCCCTCAGGCAGTGTGTATGTTCTACGTGGGTATTCAAGCAACTTAGAAGACTAGCTTTTGCCGTCGCTGCTGATCTCAGTGTGCACGCACCTGAAGCAGATTTGTAGCGTATCTGCACTCTGTTGCCACCTACTGGTGAGCTGTGGCAGCAACAAGCTAAGAGTTGTTTTTGCTTGCGGTCAGCTCTAAATTCCTTCAGCCTGGATTAATTTTGGAAGAACATTTTAAAGCCCACAGAGTGATGTGGAATAGATATTCACCTGTTTTTCTGACCACGTTCTTCCCTTCCCATGTTTTAAATTCTTGAGACAGAATCACTTGTAAGCCACCAGTATTTGTTGGTCTGTGTTCATTTCTATTTTAACTATCTGCTCAGGCATTTCTATTACTCATAACTTCTTAGCAGTTTTAAGATAAATATAGAACAAAATACATTTGTGACATTCACAGAGGCTTACATGAACTGTGATCTTAGGAATATAGTTTTCAAGTTAACACATTACAATCACTGTGCTGGAAATTTTGAACGAGAATTATATTATGCTTATATTTCCTTGATGAGTCTTAAGAGAAAAATGAGAAAATGAGAAAATGAAAAATGAGAACATCCAACGAAACATCCTGATGTTTTCATGCTATCCTAAATATCTAACTTTTTTCTTGGCAATGTGACAATTGTTTCTTTCTGTTTTAGTGTAGCTATTTTTTAATGTTGTCGAAAATTGACCCAAAAGAGACAGGTTTTAAACACATGCTAATTTCAAAAGCCAGAACCAATTACAAGCCACTGTTCTTAAGGAAGCTGGTGTGAAATATTCTAGAATCTCTGGTGTAAGTGAAATATATACTCCTCATCTCAGATAATGAGATACAGTTTGTCTGAAAGCTATCTATTTATCTGTGTCTGCAGAGGTATTTCTGGAGGATTAGCTATATCTAATATTAGATAATTCTCAAATAAGGATTGACCGCTACTTTACACAGTAATGAGGAAAACTCTTTGAAAGCATTATAAGCAGTTTTAAATCTTTTTTTTTCATAAAATGCTAATTTTAGTACTTTTCATCCAGAATTAAATGGAATTCTCCTAATAGCAATACCATGTTTATGTTATAGGATTATTTTTCCCTCTTAAATTATGAAGGTATAACACAACTTTGCATAAATTTAAAGAAAATAGAATATTTACGGTCCACACAAACACATGTAGTCTAAGATACAAATACATAATGTAAAATGTGGCCAAGAAAAAACTTACGGTGCCCCGAAGCATACCATCTTACTGACTTACGGGATATTTATGGATGGGCCCTATTCATTGCAGAAAAAGCTTTCTTTCTGTTTCGACTCTGGAAGGCAGTTCAGTGGAGTCTAAGACTCCCTGTAAACTGATATTCCTCTCTCTCTATGGCAACACAAATCTCTGCCTCAGCAACAAAATGAGGTCTTACTATGCAAAGCAAAAAGCACAAAAACATCATAAACAAGAACAGTATCTACATTTTAAAAACTGGAATAGGAAAATGTTTTTAAAATCAAGCCCTTGAGAACTTGCAATGAAGAACCATAGCTGTGTGATAGATCAGCTGAGGTTAAACCAGGGTCCATT